CTTATGCACAGAACAGACTGAAAATACTCGCAAATGTAACAGGATGATGTCAATTGACAGAAGACTCTGTTTTATAGAGTCAGGAGAATATGTCCTACAAGACGGGCATCAGTGGCACAGTGGTAGAATGATCGCCAACCACGCAGGTGGTTCAGGGTCGGTCCTCGGCCATAGACACACTCCCCCTTTACCTCTGTAAGCCAGTATTAGGACTGGTAAAGAGCGAAGGTTAGGCAAGAGGCTAGCAGACCCATATCGTAAAATAAACACCGCTGCTACCGAAACTTCAAGACTGAAGCTTGAAGCCCTATGTTCCAGTGGGAACGTAAAGGAAATAAAGTGAACCTTGACTTCAAGGCTTATCTAACTTGTGACGTGCCTAAGAGAAGAATTTTACTATGTATGTTTGAGGATATTATTCTCAGCAACACTAAAAGTAGTAATACCCAGTCGTCCATTTTGTCGCACATCCTTTCCAAGACCTTTGAAAAATACTATTCCGCAAGAATGCAGAAAATTAACGGTTGATCTGTAAGAAGTGCAGTCACTGAACACCTCATCAACACTGTCCTTTATGTCTCAACAAGTTGCACTCTTCAAAGTAATCTACAAAAGATAATCCGTTTTCGTCTTATTTGCATTTGAGGATTTAATCATGAGCTGACATCAGTTAGAGAACCACTGGAAAACCTGGGAGTACTGGACAACTGTTTCGTCCTAGTTTGGGACTCCTCAGCAGTACGCACCCACCGGGATTCGAACCCAGGACCTTCTGGTTACAAGGCGAGCTCGTAGACCATTGAGCCACTGGGACCCGATCCAATGGTCCTTGAATTCTAACTTCTGCCAGTTCTGTTTGCATTTGTAAAGCTTTTGGTCACTCAGACAGAGAAACCAGAAGTCTGTATACATAAGTCAATTATTCAATCATTTCTACTAGGCGTACTATATTGATCGTTTTATTTCCTACCTTGACTTGTTTTTTCCAAACTCTTTCTAAAACTCTGTTCTATTGCTTTCAATGTCTTGAGTAATCTGTTATATTTTGCCTTACTTCTTCTGTATACATTCTGATGATTACAACTCATTCAGTGAATTATTTTTTTCTACCTCATTACATAACTCCTCTGCCTTTCTTTTATCAATTTCACTTACATATTGACTAGTATTAACACAACTATGATTATGGCAATTCATCTCTCTTCTTTTTTTTCTATTACTATCTTCTTTTGTAAAGATAAAAACTGTCTGCAAATTTAATTGTACTGATAAGGATAGGCAGGCAGGCAGGCGGTCGGTCGGGAGGGGAGAGAGGAAGTGAATTCTCTAAAAACAGCCTCTTCACTGGACTACTTGTTTTGTTTCCATTAAAGCTCCAAGTAACATAATCAGAATAACTGGAGTGGTAACAATTTCGAACTTTCCTAATAGCATAATCCCCAAAAGATCTGACTGCATAGTGGAGTAATTTTTGAGAAAATCCCTCCTCAAAAGAAGTTATTACAATATCTTTTTTTTCTTATTTTGATGTGTTTATATGAGTTGATCACGGATTGATGTCAGTTAGAGAACCATTGAAAATTAGAGAGTATTGGACAGCTGTTTGTTTCAATGGTTCTTCCTATAACTGATATCAATCCGTGATCAACACATCAAAGCAAATATAATCCTTACAAATGAACTATTGAAATTTAATCTGATGCTCGCGAGAGACTTGCTACAGAATGGATTTCCCTGGAGTTCTAGTGAGAAGTCGTGACCGATGAAGTCCATTCAGTCAAATGTGAGGATGAATGTCCCATCAGTGACATTGGTTAGTAATCGGGCAAAATCATGAACTGGTGGAAGTTAGAATACATGGACTGGCTACTCAATCGGGTCCAAGTGGCTAAATGGTATACGAGCTTGCCTTGTAAACAGAAAGTCCTTGTTTTGAAACCCAGTGACTGAGTACTGCCGATGAGTCCCAAACACTAGGACGAGACAGCTGTCCAATACTCCTTGCTGGATTTCAATGGTTCTCTAACTGACATCAATCCGTGTTCAACTCGTCAAAACAAATCTAATCCTTACAAATCAACTATTGAAAATTGCTTAGATGAACTTTGATGATTGGACACTAGTAACTAGTGTGACGAGTCTAGTCCTTTGTTTGTTTGGTGCAGACTGAATTCTGGCAGTCTGGCCACCATTCTAGGTGGCTTGCCATCATGATGCACATTGATTTGATGATATTAGATGGTTGAAGGCAGTTGGCCACTGGAAGCCTTGCTCGGCGTAGTTTTCGTGCTAGTTGGCACTCATTAGTCATCAAGGCGTTTCTGCAGCCGCCTTGAAGGAACACTCATGTCACTTCGGAACCCATGTCACCCAGTGCTGCCTGCAGTCAGAGACGTTACCACTGAGCTAGCATGTCGTCGGTGGCACAGTGGTTAGGACTCTCGCCGACCATGCACATGGTCCGAGGTTCGAACCCCCGCCGACGCACACCTGATATCTATGGTCGGCCTGCAAAATTTGGGCTACCGATATCCATGCTGAAAATTCCATACTTGTACCAAAAATACAGTGTGGAATGAAGCTGTAAATCAAAAAAAAATATTCGGGCTCGCGACTGACCCCCTGTAGGGTGGCGAGCTATATAGAATGTTGGCCACATTGCAAACCTGTACAATCAAAGTACCCACTACAGTCCTACAGGAGGAGCCTGAATAGCTCAGTGGTAACGTCTCTGACTGCAGGTGGCGCTGACTGACGTGGGTTCGGATCTCAGAATGGACATGAGTTCCTTCAATGGTTACAGATACGCCTTGCTGACTGGTGAGCGGCAACTAGCGCGAAACCTAGGTCAAGTGAAGGTTTCCTGTGGCCGTTTGCCTCCAACTATCCTACAGCATCAAATCGTTTAGATGTTTCAACTAACTCCTAGACACTATATCATTCCTCTGACATTTAAAAATCATATGTTTAAATGATCCTTATTATTTTTCTTTGTTCATGTTTAATCCCCAATTTTAATGCTTCTATTTGGGATTGTGTGATGATGCACTGATAAAGCGTTGTCTTACGATGTAATTTTGTTTGATTGAAGGAAAGGTCATTCTGACCTTCGACTGTCTGAGAGAAGACTTTGTGAGTGACTCTTGTGGACGGAATTTTGATCCCATCATGTTGAGAATACTCGACTTGATTCCAAGGCCCTCCCTATAGTTAAATTTCTGTTGATTAATTACATACGAACTTGCCTTGTAACCTGAAGGTCCTGGGTTCAAACCCCTGTGGTGGGTGCGTACTACTGACGACTCCCAAACTAGGAAGAAACAGCTGTCCAGTATTCCTTGCTAGTTTTAAATGGTTCTCTAACTGATTTCAATCCATGAACAACTCGTCAAAACAAATCTAATCCGTACAAACCAATTATAGAAAACATAAAAATTTACCTTCTTTTTACAGCTGCCTAAAGGCACTGCTGACCACCATAGATCTGTAAATGATAAGTCTTCTTTATGCTACTGTCTTTGTAGAGTTTTGTGACTGTGCCTGTCTCAAGTAAGTTTTATCATCTATGCAGCAGTACATAGAGATCCCTGTCATGAGTTCGCACAGAAACGAGTCGGCTTTAGGCTCTACCAACTACTCTGTACCTATTTCAAAATTAATTTCAGTCACGAATTGAAACCAATTCAGGAGTTATTGGGAATCTAAGAGTAATGATTAGGCATTTTACTTCATTTTGACGCATATAAACATCACGCATCCAAGATGGGATCATCGCAAAATGGACTAAAACCTTCAGTCTGACAGAAAAGCATGTTTACGATTCAAACATTGGCTTAGAATACCGTGACTCATGAAACCACATTTATCTTAAAATCACGCTGAAGACGTTGTCTAGAAAGAGGACGAAAGCTTTTCACTTGAGTCAACCATCGTAGATGACACAGCCAAATCAAAATAACCCATCCGATATACAAATCTCGATTGATGAGCATCTTTTGGGCGAACACGGTGTAACCCACCATCCCGGACTTCTATTAAAACTTCAGAACAACCGTTTTGTAGACACTAATGAGGAGAAGATTGATATATATTCAAAATAGTCGATCAACTTGTCTATCTGATGGTGCTAGATTACGATGGTCTGTTTCGAAAATCGATAGAAACCAGTATGAATATTCCATTAGATTCTAAACTAGTGACTAAGCGGCAACATTTTTCACTTTATAATCCAAACGTAGTTGCTATTAACGTGTCTCAAAAATTCAGAAAATCAAATTATTCACTAATCCTTAGAAATGGAGATGGATTGTGCAGAGGCTTGGGGGGTGGGATCATTGAGTAGCAACAGCCTCCAGGGAGAATCTCAAGTGGGACTTATATAGGAAATAAGACCAAGAATGATATGAAGGTGATCCCGTGAGAAGATAAAGAAAGATTATCAACAATCGTCTGGTCCGCTAAGAGAAAGACTGCAGAAAACACAGTGAAATGTTGATGGACTGTTTAATCTCTACGTTCCACTGGGAATCTAAGGAATCAACAAATCATTACTGGGCATTTTAATACAGTATTAACATTTTCAAAAGTTAGTTTGTAGGGATTCTTTTTTTTCGTTTCAGGGTAGACTATGGATTGATATCAGTTAGAGAACTATTGAAAACCAGTTGTTTCGTCCTAGTTTTGTACTCATCGACTGTACGCACTCACAAGGTTTCGAAGTGGAAAACGTTGAGATTCATGGACCATTGAATTTAGTCCCAGTGGCTGAATGGTATGCGAGCTCGTCTACCTTGTAACCGGAAGGTCCTGAGTTTGAACCTAGCGCGTTGGGTACGTACTGCCGATAAGTCCCAAGCACTAGGACAAAACAGCTTTCCAGTACTCCTTGCTAGCTTTCAATGGTTCTGTAACTGATATCAATCTGTGGTCTAATCCGAAACAGTATTATCAGTTGAAATAAAAGCACTCACGCTCACAAACACACACAGAGACAAACTTACATATGATTTTTGCCAAGTTTTTTAGCTTCTAAATCACAAAATGTTACTCTTGGAAAATGTCCCGAGTGATGCCATTCTTGTCCTTTGACTAAATCAACTAATACTTGAGCACCATACATTGTATACTTTGTACCAATAAAATATTGCATTAGATAAATCTGTCCAATCACATTGGATAGATAACTAAATTTAACAAACATATATAATGTGACTAAGAAATTCCCTTGTTCTTTACCACACCATGAACACCAACAAATGAATGTATTTAAATAAGAGAATTTCTTGTGCTCCTTCCCGAAATCTGTGTAGAAAGTGAACAAAAGGGAAAAGAAAAACAGAAAAGAAAACAGTGAGTCGTGTACTTGTAGAGTATTTGGAAAGGTTTATAAATACGTATACACAGCGTAATAAAGGAAGGGCAATCTCAAAGACTTTAATTGGCGGATGGTGACTAGCAGTGGAATCCAGGATGACACGCATTCCATCCTATTTGGGACGTGACAGATGGATGTATCTGCATTCTCCAGTGAGTGACGATGATCCCACCGAGGCTCGAACCCAGTACCCATAGTTTCAAACACCGGCCAAAACATTATCCACTAGACCACTTAGGCCACGAGAGCCACCTTTTGTGCAACGGGTCATATGAATTTAATTGAATTTTTAAATTTTCCCGTCAATTGATTGAACCGAAGTGCTCGGTCTCAGGTTGATATGTCGGATTCTTGGGCAGATGCTTCAACGAAGTGCAGGTGCATCCAGCTGAAGAGTAACAAATAGAACGAAATGTGCATCCTGGATTCCACTGCTAGTCACCATCCACCAATTAAATTCTAAATAAATGCCCAGATATCGTCGAAGCATCTGCACAAGAAGCTGACATGTCAACCTGAGACGGAGCACTTTGGTTCAGTCTAGCGGTTAGGATTCCTGGCTCTCACCCAGGCGGCCCGGGTTCGACTCCCGGCGCGGGAGCGCTTTGTGCGTCGGTGGCACAGTGGTTAGGACTCTCGCTGACCATGCATATGGTCCGGGGTTCGAGTCCGCACCGACGCACACCTGATGTCTATGGTCGGCCTGCAAAATTTGGGCTACCGATATCCTTGCTGAAAATTCCATACTTGTACCGAAAATACAGTGTGGAATCAAGCTGTAAATCAAAAATAAAAATAAAAAAAATAAAAAAAATCTACAGGAAAATCTAAAAATTCAATTGAATATCAAAGACTGTTTTTTAAAAAAGAAGGTTTATATACAGTTACCTTTCAAGAAAGTTAGCGCAACTCAGTCGGTGAAACGTCATTTGGAGAAAGCATTTAAAATGAGCCTATTTTGCAGCTGATATATTGCTCGTAAACACAACAATAGTGGAGGCGGAGTTGAGATGTTTCAAGCAACAAGCAAAGATACATGTGTTAGTGGAATCAAATACATTGGGCCTACGGAAAGATGTCTTTCGGCTGGTGTTGCTGAATACTGTTCCAAAGGGCTTTCCAGTACTCATGATAGCATGCCATGGAGCTAAATCATAACACGACATTTATTGGAACATGATCATAGGGTGACTTTGAGTAAAAAGTTTTATAGCTATTAATAATCAAGGCAATAAAAATGGAGTTGGACAGAGTGGGGCTTTTAGATAGACTTAAATCTCCTCTTCACGCCGTCTCCCCAGTGTTACCTTTGAGCCAACGCCCAACTCGTTGTTCCACTGCAGCAGCTGCTTGATAGTTTCCTCAGAGTGCATCCGATCCATCTACTTTTCCTTCACCATTCTTGTTGAGCAAAAGATTCTTGATCAGTTTTTCCCAGGGATTTTTGTTGCCTTATTCTTTCTAACTGACCACTTTGTCTTCATTATGGAGCCAGATAGTGGCGGATGTTCATAAACGTCTGCAGTGGTCTGCTTGAAATGATTTTCATGATGCGTTGACCATATTTCTGAGCAATATAGAAAAACTCACTCACTTAAAATCGGTGTTCAAAGTCTGAATTTGGTTCTTTTTGAATGCTGAATGAAGAAGATTTCCATACCAACTTCAGTGTAATGGAGACCTATCTCGCCTTACCGATTCTGTTTTCACATCCTCATCTGTGCAGTTGGTTGTTGCTGAAAAGATGCCGTATAGATAAATGCAGGAAGTGGCCTATTCCATATTTCTTTCGTTGACAGTGACTAGTGTGTATTGTTATTTCTAGTTGGCTGTCTTCATTACCTCTGTTTTTTCTATCTTCACTTAAAGCTCTGTCTCAGCATAGATCATCTGCGAATTCCAGATCGTTTGTAGTCTTCTTATCAGTCAGCACAACGTATTCCTGTCTTCTCGCTCTTATACACAGTGTTTCGCATAATCCAATCCACCACAATCAAGAATATCATTGATTGTAGTGGTCAGCGAGCTTTGTCTTACTTCCATCTTCACTTCAAACACTTCGCTGAGTTTTCCGTTGTAAATCACTTCACATTTGACATTAGCGCGTAGCTGTTGAATGAGGTCTATGAAAGTTTGCCTTACTAAGCTTCATTGTGTTGAAGTGGTTTCCAAATTACTGAGTGCTTAATGCTATCAAAGACCTTTTCAAAGTGGGTGAAAGTGAGACATAGATTTGACTGGCATTCTATTCTCTATTTGATGGTGATTAGCATAGTGAAGTCAAGTTCGAGACCCGTCAGCTTGATGTACTTGCATTTCTAGTGAGTTTATCAAAGTCTTAATTCATAATGACAGGCTAATTAACGTATTAAAGTAATTGTAACAGTTTTCTTTGCTCATAAACACTTTTGTATAACAGGGAACAATATATTAGATAGTTGAAGGCAATCGTCCACAGGAAGCCTTGACTTGAACTAGGTTTCGTGCTAGTTGGCACTCACTAGTCGGCAAGGCATATCCGAAACTTTGAAAGAACACTCATGTCCCTTCTGAGATTGGAACCGCTGTCACCCAGTGTCGCCTACCGCCAGAAACGTTACCACTAAGCTATTCGAGCTCGCGACTGACCTCTTGAAGGACTGTAGTGGATATTTTGGTTGGATATTAGTAAATAGTGCGACGTGCCTAGTTCATTCTTTGGTACAGACTGAATTCTATCAGTCAGGTTTGCAATGTGGCCATCATTCTAGATAGCTCACCAGCCTACAGGAGGTCAATAGCGGGCCTGAATAACTCAGTGGTAGCGTCTCTGACTGCAACACTGGATGCCCCGGGTTAAAATCCCTAAAGGGACATGAGTCCCTTCAAGGCGGCTGTAGATACGCCTCGATGACTAGTGAGTGCCAACTGGCATATAACCTTGGTCGAACAAGGCTTTCTGTGCTCGATCGCCTCAAGCCATCTAATATCATCAAATCAATGTGCACCGTGATGGCGAGCTACCTAGAATGGTGGCCAGATTGCAAAGCTGACTGACAGAATTCAGTGTGCACCAAACAAACAAAGGACTATACACGTCACATTAGTTACTAGTGTCCAATCAAAAAGGAAGCAATATAATTTCCTTGTGGGTGAACTGCGTTCAGTTATTCTACGGATATAATGACAACAACAAATAAGTACACAGACTTTGTTAAAATACTATCCAGGTAATGCTGATAAAAGGCTGAACGATTTCAGGTTGGCAGAGATCACTTTACTGGTGAGTGAAAAACAACCGGCTTAAAATTCTCCACATAATCATATTACAAAGTTTCCACAGGTAGCTGGAAAGAATTCGTATCACTAAATTGAGTCAAACGAGGCACACCATTTATGAGCTCGGCTGTAACACCAGATCACTTCGATATATTTAACAATCAAGCGTCAGTTCCATCAACTGTATTCAGCATTTGTGCAAACTTTTTAAGAACGCCGCACAAAACGTGATCCGAGGTTTGATTCCCAAATGATTTATTCATAAACCTCTCTGTGCTGGAAGTAATCCTGGTGAAGAAGGAAGGTAAGATGTGAGACTAGCAACCCACTCCGTAAAAGTAAGACCACCGCTGCTGAAAATTCAAACCCTGAAGCTTGACGCCTTAAGTTCTACCCAGAACATGAAGGAATAAAGTGGTAATAATCACGAATTTGTGCTTTGGTGGCACAGTGGTAGAATGCTCGCCGCCAACCACACATCTGGTCCGTGGTTCAATCCCCAACCGACGCACTCCTTTACCTCACTAGGCCAGTAATAAGACTGGTAAAGAGGGAAGGTTAGGCATTGGGCTAGCAACGTCATCCAGTAAAAAAAATTAACACCATTGCTACAGAAACTTCAAGCCTCTAGCTTGAAGTCCTATGTTCCACTGGGAACGTATAGGAATAAAAATAAATCACGAATTGGTGGAAGTTAGAATCCATGGGCCATTGTACCGGGTCCCAGTGGCTGAATGGTCCATGAGCTTGCTTAGTAACCGGAAGGTGATGCGTTCAAAACCCAGTGACTGCGTACTGACAATGGAGTCCCAAGCGAGGGTTAAACAGCTATCCACTACTCCCTAGTTGACTTTCAATGGTTCTTTAACTGGCGTCGATTCGCAATTCAACCTGGAATAATAATTATAATAATATACAGATTAAACCGCAATATCACATAACTACCTAACCATATCTTCGCTTATTCTAAACAAAGCATCAGCTGACCAACAGTGAATAATTTAGAAGCTTCTAAGGTTACATTCGCAACACAAACACACACACACCGAAACCGTCAAATCAATTTACGCAATCTGTCTAAATCCTATCTTTATCTTCAAGAATTAATTTGTAAGAATTTAATTTTACTTCAAATTTAACCATGGATTTTTTATATGCTAATTCTTGATGAATCCTTTCTTCCATTGAAGATGACTTACTTTAGTGTCTAGACAATGGCGCCACCTAGTTAATCAACTTATAGTTGTCATGATACATTTGGGTTTGATTTTTAAGAAAAGTATAAGAATCCATCTATTGTGTGTGTGTATGCGAGTGTGTGTGTGTGTGTGTGTGTGCGTGGAACAAAATGGTTAGCAGTGGAATGACTGAAGATGAGAAACAAAAGCGAAAGATGGATTACTTTCGGCTTTGATTAATTCATATCTATTGAAGTTTTACCTTTTTGTCATCCGCCGGCCGTCTACCCTAAGAGTATGTCAAAAGTACAGAAGAATAAGAAGAAGAATGCACACATCCTTGTTTTTATTCACTTTTATCCTCAAAAGTAAATCACTTTATTCAAGAGGAAGTTGATGGATTGGCCGGCTAAATTTTGTAGAATTTCATAGACTAAAATGTGGAAACTAGGCTTCTCCATTCAGTTTTATCACAGTTCTCGTAATTCTAA